GTTACATCCCCAGACATTTTTAGTTTTTATTTTGAAATAAAATAGGGCCTAAATTACTGAGAGTGACCTGAACTTGCCATTCTCCTGCCTTTGCCTCTCATGTTGCTGGGATTACAGGCATAATGCCACCACACCCAGCTCCCCAAATTTCTTCTTAATCTCTGCAAATCAGATAAGAAAAAAAAATAACAACTTCTTATTTTTCATTTGGGTTTCACTGGTTCGTTTTTGTTTTTTCTTGAGTACCAGGGATTGAACTCAGGGGCACTCAACCACTGAGCCACATCCCCAGCCCTATTTTATTTAGAGACAGGGTCTAATTGGGTTGCTTAGCACCTCAATTTTACAGAAGCTGGCTTTGAATTTGCAATCCTCCTGTCTCAGTCTCCTGAGCTGCTGAGATTACAGAGTGTGCCACTGTGCCCAGCTCACTGGTTCATTTTCTTCAGCATTGGTTCATAGTATACATGTATTTCTTCTTTGTTGAATTATGCTTATCCGTTGCTCATTCTTCAATGGGGATACTGCTCTTTATTTTTTATAGGACCTATCTATCATACAGGTTGCAAATATTTTCCCATTTGTCATTTGCCTTATTTTGTGGAGTTTATAAATCAATTTTTAAGCTGGGTCCTGTGTTGGTGCACACCTATAATCTTAGGGGCTCAGAAGGTTGAGGCAGGAGGACTGCCAAATTCAAAGTCAGCTGCAGCAACTTAGTGAATCCCTGAGCAACTCATTGAGACTCTGTCTCAAAATAAATAATAAAAAGGGGGGCTGGGGTTGTGGCTCAGTGGTAGAATGCTTGCCTAGGCACTGGGTTCGATCCTCAGCACCACATAAATGTAAAATGAAAATTGTGTCCACCTAAAACTTTAGAATAAATATTTAAAATAAACAAATAAATAATAAAAAGGACTGGGGATGTGACTCAGTAGTAACATGCTCCTGTGTTCAGTCTTCTGTTCTAGAAAGAAAAAATCAATTTTAAATTTTTTCAAGCTGATCTGCCAATATCTCTTTATAGGTTTTTTTTTTTCCCCAAACTCAGATTTTCTTTTTCCAACTCAGGATTTTGCAATAGTCATATATTCCTCTTTTTGTGGTTTAATTTTTCTTTATTTAACTGATCAATCCTAAGACTCAAATATCATTCTTCTCCAGTTATCCTAGGACCATTTATTACACAAGTGAATGTTTTTCCATATTTGAAATACTTCCTTTTAAGTACAAAATAAGTTTTATATGCTTGGCTATTTATGTAATTTGTTTCCCATCCTATAGTGATTTTTCTTTTGTATCAGGGCCACTAACTTAATTACTATAGTATTTCCTACCTTCATTCTTATCAAACATTTTCTAAATTGATTATTCTCCTTCTAAATCGATTTACAAAACAGAAATCTGTAACCCTATTTAAGCAGATTTTTCTATAAGTTCAGAGCAAAATGTATTAATATCAATTGTTAGGGAAAAGAACTATTTAAATTATTAAGGTTGTAAGAAGAACACAGCTTACATAGACGTACCTTTTTTTCCCAAAATTGGGGAAAATAAAAACTTAAAAGGTTCCAAGAAGAACAATCCAATTTGGAAGAAATTCAAGAACGGGGAAAAACCAAAAACAAACAAAAAAAGGGAACGGCAACAAATAAGAATTAAAAATTAACTTTTTTTTGGTACTACTCTTACCTCCAGAGGTGTTTTCAGATACATTGTTTTTTAAAACCTGTTCATAGTAGAACAATAAGTAGTTTAGATGTATATCTGTGACTTCTAGGACATATGTTTGTTGATTTTAACATTGTTTGTGTTAATGAGGAGAAAAAATATGATTGTTACACACAAATGTAGACTCATTTGATCAAAAAACAACTTACTACTAAAATACTTCCAGATGCAGGGACTTTTAGCTCTTTGTGCGAAGGCTACTCTCAAACTATTGTTGAAGGATAAATACTTTTTCTCATGATATACTATCTTCTTTTTTGCTTCCTACCCTCTTTTCCTTTCACTTACAACTAAAAATGGTTTAACTGTTAATGATATCTGGAATTTAAAAAGTAGTACACTGTGGATCTAAATTTGTATTATATTATCCAAGGTGGTTCAAATAGCATCTCTGCTTATTGGATAAGAGCATGAAAGGAAGTATTTCAATTCAGGAACAAAAACTGAATTATTATATGAATGGAATTAATATTATCAATTACACAATTTTCAAGATTAAACTAAGATGTAAAAATTTACGCATGTCATTATGGGCCTCAAAGCATTCTACACTGATATGAGACATTTCATTCATGAGTTTAAAGCAAATCTATATAAGATTAAGTGAAATTTTTTTACTTATTACAAATAGCAGATGAAATTTGACACCTCTACAAGTGTCTCAAGTGGCAGAACTCAACCAAAACACTTCTTGTGCAACAGCCATCATTACATCTTGACTATTTTTTCATCAAGAACAAATAGTGGAGGCCTGCAATCCCAGTGGCTCAGGAGGCTGAGGCATGAGGATCACGGGTTGAAAGCCAGCCTCAGCAACTTAGCAAGACCTTGTCTTAAAATAAAATAAAATAAAATAAAATAAAATAAAATAAAATAAAATGGGCTGGGAATGTGGTTCAGTGGTTAAGTGACCCGGGTTCAATTCCTAGTACCAAAAACAAAAAAAGATGAAAATATTAAACAGTATGGCATAATCAATTAATATTAGCGTATTAAATATAGTCTGGGTATTTTCATAATCTGCCGTCCTTGAGGTCAAAAGGCCATTAAAGTGACTTATTCCCATTATCTCTCTATCCTTATTTATAAAATGAAGATATTAATTACTTTACAGGGTTGTAGTGAGGATCATGTAAGATTAGGGACATAAAAGTTCCTAGCACCATGCCAGATATAGTAGACACTCAAAGATTAATTCTAATTTTTCTGATACTACACTAAAGTAAGAATAAACACACAAACAATAAAAACCCACTTGGATGTGAGAATTATTAACACGCATAGCATGTACTTTATTTCAGTGCTCCTCAGTCATGTTACAGGTCTGTCACATAATAGTATTCAGTCAGTCAGAAAATGTAGATTCTATTTTCAGCAGAGCTTCCAGATGGCTTTATTTTTGATCTGTAATCTAACAGGATGGCATATATTCCTGAATTGTTTTCCACTTTTACAATTCTTGCTATAATCCTAGATTATAGAAACAAAACACACACACACACACACACACACACACACACACACACACACATTCCAACCTCCATGGTAATAAGAATTTTCAACCATAATACTTTAGCATATTGTTGCTAATAAAGTCTATTTTGAAAATCCAGAAAAAATATAAATATTTGTAATTACCCCTTGGCAAAGAAACGCCGCCAAAATAACCTAGAAATATTTAGCTGCTTCAGCGATTTCTATATTTTATTTCGAAACGCATCGTGGAAATTGGAAACATAAAACAATACAGAACGGCGCCCACGGTCTTTTCAATTCTGCGCGGGTATTTAAAGGTAACTAATCTCGCTGTAACTGTATTGGACAAACCGGGGGTTACTGGACAGCTGGGGGAGGGGAGGGAGGGCGTGGACCGGGGTTTGAAGGTTTTAGCAGTGGAGGCGACGGCGGGCCGGCGTCGCGCCTGGCGCGGCTGGGAGGGCGGCGGGAGGCGGAGTGGGGCGGGCGCGGGGGCGCCTGGCCCAGGCCCGGGACGCACCCGACCTAGGGAGCGGGTGTGGGCGGGCGCTCAGCGCCCCTTCGGCCCGAGAGGCCGTGGGGGCTCCCTGCGCGAGTCCGCCCCGTCCCGCCTCTTCCCCTTACCACGTAGCCCCCCCACACGTAGAGGAAGTTTCCGTCCACCACCGCGCAGTGGCCGCTGCGCTCCTCGGCCACGCAGAACAGCTGCGAGTCCGCCATCCACGCCGTCGCTGGCCCACTACTCGGCGTGCCGCAGCCCCTGCCCACCGCGCTGCCTCTCCTCGGGTCCGGATTGCTGCACGCACGAACGGAACGCGTCGAGGGTCGAGATTGGTGGGAAGGCGAACCAGTGCGTCTGCGCCGTCCCGCAGCGGAGTCGCTCCCGAGGCCGCGCCAAGGGTGGAGTGGCCAGTGAGGGATGCCTTGGTTCTTAGCAGTGAGGAAGAGGCCTTAGCTTCCCCGGAGAAGGAACAGGCAGATTTCTTTCCACTTGAGGTGTTTTGGCAATTCAGTCTCATCCAGCTTCCATTCCATAATCAGATTCCTTGATTTTTCTCAAAATGTCTTTGTGCAGTTGGTTGGAGCAGGTTATATTTGGTCGTTGTGTCTCAAGATTTTTTCCGATATCTTTGTTAATCTTGAACAGTTACTATCTCTTCTCTCTTGTGGCACTTATTTGTGAAATGGGTTAGTTTTCCTATACCTAAGTGTGGTTTCTCATTAACGTGTGCTTTCGTCCTGCTTATTTTTCTTAGACTGGAAAGTTGATCTAAAAGCTTTAGCGTCTGGGTCTGTTTTTTTTTTTTTTTCCAAGAACACTTCATGCTGCATCACAGTAGAAGGCTTAGTGATATTTTCCATTATTTCATTTAGCAATAGAAGTAAACATGCGCAGAGACGCAAATATTTCCCCTTTTTCTTACACTATATACACAACTCGGTAACCTGTTCTCCATTAAACGTTATATAGTTCCATATCCGTGTATTGTGATCTTCCCCAATCCTTTTGATTGTTTCATAGCACTATTTTGAGTGGCTGTGTCATGATTTTTTCAATCAAGTCCTTATTGATGGACGTCATTTATTCCCAGTTTTTTGTTATCACAAATAATTTTGCCTGAAGAACATTATGCACATGTTTTTTTTTTTTGTAGTTTTACAAATATGTTTTTGGAATAGAGTTCTGGAAGTGGAATTGCTGGGTCAGAGGATAAAAGCATATATGATTTTGCTAGATGTTGCTGAAGTTGCCTCATAGGAATTATACTTTCACCAGCAATATATGAGAGTGACTGTTTCTCATAACCTTTCCAACAGAGTATATTGCTAAAATTGTGGCGCTTTGCTAAAATGATATGCTAGAAGTAGTAGCTCAGTGAAGCCCTTGGATTTTCAGCTTTATGCAAGGACTTTTCTGTTAGATTTCATACCTTGAATAACTCTTCAATTTGTTTCCTATTGTCTGTTCTCCTTGAGGGAGTATAATATAAATGAATGCAGTTTCAGCATTTGTGTCTGTGATATTAAGGGAAACTGTCAGTTTTTATACGTTGCTTACCTTCTGAAGATTTCCCTTTTTTTTTTAATTAAAAAAAAATTTCTAGTTGTAGATGGACAGCATGCCATTATTTTGTTTATTTTTATGTGGTGCTGAGGATGGAACCCAGTGCCTCACACATGCAAGGCAAGTGCTCTGCCACTGAGCTACAGTACGAGCCCCTCCCATTTTTAATAAGATTTTTGTTCCTTTTCTTTTTCAGGGTGATCTTTTGTTAGCCTATTGATTGTGTGTGTGTGTGTGTGTGTGTGTGTGTGTGTGTGTGTTTTATTGGTGATTGAATCCAAAGGTCCTGAACTACTGAGCCACACTTCTAGCACCCCTCTTTTTTTAGGAACTAGGGATTGCGCCCAGGGCGGGTAACCATTGAGCCATGTCACCATCCATTTTTATTTTTATTTTTTTGAGACAGGGTCTTACTAAGGTAATTGATGAAACCACAATGAGATACCTGTATACTTTTATTAGAATGACTAAAAAGATTGACAACACCAAATACGGGTGAGGATACAGAACAACTAGAACTCTCATACACTGCTAATGGAGTAAAAATGAGAAAATATTTGTAGTTCCTTAAAGTATATAACTAAATATTATAAGGTAAAAATATATGTATAATTTGTCATATGTACTCCATGACCCAGATATTTTACTACTACAATTTTCTCAAGAAAATTCAGGGCTGTGGTTGTGACTCAGTGGTTGATGCTTGTCTAGCATGTGTCAGGCACTGGGTTTGATTCTCAGGACCACATAAAAAAATAAACAAAGATATTGTGTCTATCCCAAGCAATCCTCCTGTGTCAGCCTCCTAAGTAACTAGGACTATTATGAGAAGCCACTTCAGAAAATACTCTATGTCCGAATTCAAATCAAACAGAGCTTTATTTACCTGGCCAGGGACTGTCGCCCACCCATCGAGACTGAAGCTGTATGGCAGAACAGCCATTTCCTGGCTTGTGTCTTGGGAATTTAAGGACAAAAACCACAGCTCAGGGACTTTCCTTAGCATCATTCAAGCAACTCAATCATAGAATTTTTAAGACAGCAATTAGCACAGCAACTCACAGTTGCATCTTGGGTTTGAGCAGGTGTTAAACAATTGTATCCTGAGTTTGAGCAGGTGGTTAGTGGGGGCAAGAATCAACTTCAAAGTCTTGAGTCACCAAGACCACCATATCCTGGATTGAGTACACTTTGTGGGGTACAAAGTACAGAAATCAATCTATTATAAGAAAACAGCTTTCATTTCAGTTTCTCAGAAACAGCTCTTGTAACAGTTTTTTTTTATAGAAGGCAGCAGAATGGAGTCCTAGGCCTGTCTATGACAGTTCTTGCTTTATAATTATCTTAACTCACTTATCAAATTCTATATCTATAATCTATATTTTTTACTAACCTATAACCTATAACTTACACTCTTATTGATTGTATTTGTCATTTCACACCACAGCAGGACTACATGCACATACCACTGCCCCTAGCCTAAGTATTGCATTTTTGAAATGGAGCACTTGTCCTCCTGGACCTTAAAGTTTGTAGTGAAGGATGTAAATTATAAACAGACAGTTACCAAACTGTGCAGTAAGTACACCCACCCCAAAAGTCCAGGGTGGCTTGGGGCTACAGTAGAGGACTCTTAACTCATATTTTGGGAGTTCCTGAGAGGAAATAAAATCTAAGCTAAGAAGTAAAGAATGAATGGATGTTGTTCAGGATAGTGGAAGAAAGAGGGAGAGAAGTGCTCCTAGAAAAGGAATAGGAGAGGAAGAGAGAGATGACTTGTTCACCTTATTCCAATATAGTGAGACTTTAAAGCATTTTAAGTTGGGAAACGACATGGTTAAAAAATACATTTTAGAAATTTATTCTAATGGCAATATTGGAGGCAAAGAGGCAAGTTAGTGGGTCAGTTGTGTCTGGCTAGAGAGGGTGATGTCTCAAGTGAAGGCCCTGACCCTGGAAATTCCGAGAAAGACATGGATGGGTTTGAGAGATACTTAAAAGGTAGAACTGCAGGGACTCGGTCACTTATTGGTTTATGAAGGAGGAAGAACAGAAAGGAGTGAAAGGTGGTACCTTATATACTAGATTGGTCACTGGGTAGAAGCTGGGTGGAACACTTCATTAGGCTACTGAACACGGAAGAGGAACAGGTTTGGGAGTGATGACAGCCAGTGAGTTCATGGGGGCATAAAGAGTTAGTTTTGAAGTCAAGGGATGAGGATTAGATATGGGAATTTTGAAATCATCAGCATATGGTTGTTTATTGAAGTATTGGGACTTTGTGAACTTGTATGTGAAGGAACCATAGGAAGAAGCTGAAAATTTTTGGGACAAATGGAATCACTGTCAGATTGTGATAAGACATTGGGCAATTGTGATAATTTTTTTTCCTCTTCAATTTTTTATATGAAATCTATCAGCCAGGCATGGTAGCACATGTATGTAATTCCAACTACTAAGAGGGCTGAGGCAAAAGGATGTCCAGTTCAAGGTTAGTCTGAGCAATACAGGAAGATGTCCATCTAAACAAATAAAACCCATGAAATCTATCAAACATACAGAAAAGTTGAAAAAACTGTTCAAGGAATACCTATGTATCCTCCACTGAAATGATTGCTAATATTGCCATACTAGCTTTAGGTGTGTCCATATTTTTCATTTTGTTGAATTATTTGAGAGTGGTAGGTATGATATTACACTTCAATATGCATTTTATAAAAACAGGGATCTTCACTTACATATCATAGCTAGCAAAATTAAGCTATTCCTTAATATAATCTGATATCCAGTTCATAGACAATGTTTCTGAATTGCACTATAAAACAACTTTTAGAGCTGTTTTTTTTTTTTTAAATTTCAAACTGGGTTCCAGTCATAGTTTATATAGTGCATTTGATTATTAAGTATTTTTAAAATCATGTATTATCTATTGCTGTGTTACACATTAGCCTAAAATTTAGAGACTTAAACAATAGAACTTTATTATCTCACACAATTTCTGTGGGTCAGGAATTTGGAAACAGTGTGGCTGGTTTTAATCTCTCCTCTCCCACAAAGTTTGTAGTCACAATTTTGGCAAGGGTTGTTGTAGTCTATCACAACCGGTGCAATGTTTACTCAGTTTCCCTGAACTAGGGTGGTGAGTTGGATTAGAAATATTAAAGGAATGAGAAATTTAAGAAATAAAGACAAATACATGGAAACAAGTGAAAAGCAAGGGGTGAGGGTCTGGGGCTGGTAGGATAATCCAGCTCTGATTGAGACTGGATCTAACCAGGGGAATGAAAACCCACAAGTTTAATTCATAGGTATGGGCATTAAAGGGTTTCAGTGTGAAAAACTTCTTGAGGTAAACAGGATGAAGTTAAGAAAAACAACACAGTTGGGGCTCAGCAGGTTACACCCACACCCATCTCTTCTATCTACTGGCAGCTGGGATTTGAGATCAAGGCTTTTGAACTAGAGAATTGCATGACAAGCACAGAACTTTTCTATCAACAGGAGTCAAGCTGCAAATGGGCGTTCCCCTGGCATCCTTGTACCACGGTGTTCCCCAAAGCAGGCTCACTGTCCAGGTTTCACTTAGTTCAAAGCAATGATTGATTGATTTTTAAAATTAATTAATTTATTTATTCTAATTAGGTATACACGACAGCAGAATGCATTTTGATTCTTTGTACACAATTGATGCACAACTTTTCATTTCTCTGGTTGTACACGGTGTAGCATCCCACCATATGTGCAGTCATACATGCACCTGGGGTAATGATGTCCATCTCATTCCACCATCTT